AAACAGAATGCGATAATATTGAAATATACCATAAATTGCAGCTAACATTTTTTTTTTTTCATCTGACAAGACTCAAGATTTTGGCTTTGATGACTTATGTCTCAGATTTTAATGACAACGATTATGTTCCGGACTCAAAGTCAGGAACTTCTTCTGGGACAGATGATGAGACTCCACTTTCAACAAAGCCAGTGCCTTATTTACATCTCAATTCTGCTACTTTAACAAAAGATGACAGTTTTTGTAAAGGGAAGCTCACTTCTGGAAAGCCCATCCCCACAAATTGCACGGGTGCTTCGAAAGCGTGGGAATTTTTCTTGAAATGTGCAGGTTGTAAAAGAGGTAAGTGGAGTCTTGGAACCGTGCTATAGACCGAGGAACTCAAAACAAGGATTATACATCATCCACTGTTTTTACTGTCAAGAACTTTATGCTAAAAAAACATTGTAGAAACACATGAAAATCTGTCCTGCAAAAGACAAGGAATGCGATAGTGAATCGAGTTTTGGAAAAGAACAGGTGAGATCAAAATGTGGACTTAAAACTGCTGTGGTGAGAGAAATTGGTGAAGGCTTGAAGAGTGTACTTTCCCAGATGATTTATGACAAGGTCACTCAAGTGGTTCAAGGAGACAAGCCTATTTTTCATTTCGGACAGCACCTTAAAGGGTTCACAGAAAAATAGACATAATTACATTAGACAAAGATTTGGAGAACTGTGGAGACTGTTGATTGTGATTAGAAATAGCAGTCCTATCAAGAAAGCAGAGGAACAAATGTTTCCTTCAAATTTTGATCACATTCGAAAAACCTACGTTGGCACTTAAAATCGGCAATAGTCTAGGTGTATTGTGTGAGCTTGTGGAGACAGAAAATGTATCAACTGAACGAGACAAAACTCTTATACAAAATGCCAGAGAGTTTAAGAAGATTAAGAACTTCAAATGGAAAGTATTGGTCACAAGGGGTGCAACAACAACCATGGAAGAGCTCAAATGGAATGCCCCAAAGCTTATGCCTCTCACTCAAGATGTTAAACGACTACATTTCTACATGGAAAAAAATCTATTAATTTCAGAGAGATTATTAAGGCTCGCCCCCTCTGCTAATAATTATGTTTCACTAGCTAAAGTAACCCTAGCACAGTTGATTCTGTTTAATAGGAGAAGGGAAGGGGAAGTTTCTCTGATGAAGCTGGAGGCGTTTCAATCTTGAGCAAAAGAACTGAATGCAGATGTGATTACATGCCTCAGCAGCGTCATCACGTCATCAGGGAAGAGGGGTTCCGTTATTGCTAAAACCAACAATGGTCTTTAGTATGGAGCTCTTGGCAGAAACCCGGCTTAAATGTGGCGTCAACGGTTTCGTTAAAAACGGCCTGCATACGTTGATGCTAACGCTAGATGCCGAAAAGGCTTTTGACCGCGTGTCCTGGCCTTTCCTCTTTGCAACATTACGAAAGTTTGGCTTTCATGAACAATTTGTATATTTAATGATGGGGATGTATAAGGAATCAAACGCTCGAGTTAAAGCTAACGGCTCACTTTCTAAAGTCTTCCAGATAAGGAGGGGCACAAAACAGGGGGATCCTCTCTCACCCCAAATGTTTGCCTTATGCATCGAACCCTTGGCAGAATGTATCAGGATAAATAAGAATATAAGTGGAATAAAGATAAAAGAGGAGGAACACAAACTAGCACTATATGCAGATGATATTATTGTTTATTTAACAGATGTATATAGATCCCTACCAGAATTAATGGGGGAAATCTGTGAATATGAGACGATGTCCGGTTATAAATTAAATTCAAATAAAACAGAGGTGCTGGAAATGGGCTGCCAACTTAAGGTAACTTTTAAGAAAAAGTTCAACCTGAAGTGGGACAGAGATAAAATAAAATACCTGGGTATCGTACAGTAATTCCAAAAGACATTGACAAATTATATATGTATAACTATAGAGCACTCTCAGACTCCTTAAAGTAGGACATTGGTAGGTGGAAAATCTTGCCCCTCACATTGTTTGAAAAAATAGAAATAATTAAAATGAATATTTTGCCACGGCTCTTATTTCTGTTTCAGAATTTACCCTTATACCTAACTAATTCATGCTTTAAGGAATGGGATGGCCTCCTAAGAAAAATTTTATGGGACGACAAAAAACCAAGGGTCAAACTTAAATGTATGCAGAGTAAAAGAGAGAGAGGAGGACTGGGTCTACCAAATTTGCTTCTGTACTATTATGCATCTCAATTCAAATACATCCTTACATGGATGAACCGTAAAGTGAATCCAAAATGGAAAAGTATGGAAGCGAATATGGTGGATTCACTCTCCTCCTATATCTTCTCAGAGCAACCAGTGGAAAGATTAAAGAATGTAAACTTGAATATTTATAATACATGCAAAATTTGGAAAAATATTTGTAGAAAATGCAAGATAAAGCCAACAGAAACTGTCTGTCTTAGAGAAATCTGCCAGGACCCAGACTTTGCTCCAAATCGTACAGATGAGACTTTCAGAGTGTGGAAGGATCGGGGGCAAACAAGGTTCCACCAACTATTTAAGAACCAAATTTTAGAAACATTTGAAAATTTAGCAAAGGAGTATGATCTCCCAACTCATCACTTTTACAGATACCTTCAAGCAAGATCCTACATAAGTGGGAAAACCCAGCCGGCTCAACCTCCACACCAACTGATTTTACACATCCTGAAAGTCTATGAGAATTCAAATTATAAAAAATTGACAAGACAAATTTACAATATTCTGAATGATGAATACTATAATGAAGTAAACAAGATTAAATCCTCTTGGGAAAAGGACCTCCAAAACCCTGTGACAGATGAGGAGTGGAGTTTGGGCTGTAGAAACATGTTCTGTTATTTGAAGTTTCCATTCTGGCAGGAGTTTGCATGGAAGCTGCTGGTCAGATTCTTCAGAACACCTCTGTACGTCAGTAAATGCACCAATCTTGAACAATTCTGCTGGAGAGACTGTGGTGAAACACAGGCAGACCATGTGCATATACCGTACACATGCCCCAAAATTCAGATCTACTGGAATCAGGTCATACAAATGATCAAACATACCTGTGGACAAAATGTTTGCCTGAAACCAAAACACCTCTTGCTTGGTATCCAGCCAAACGGTCTGGAGGAAAAACACCACTACATCTTTTTTACCCTAAGAATAACAGCCATCAAACAATTAACAAGATATTGGAAGAAAACTGAAATTCCCACTATAGCGACTTGGCATGAACTCATTATGCAAATATACAACATGGAAAAAAAGAAATGTAGTCATCTAAGGACATATGAAAATGCTGTGTTCAAAAGATGGTCATCATATATAAATAAATTCCAACAAAAATAAAAACGAGAACATGACAAATAGGATAAAATGATGAATATAGATTCAAATATTATATAATATGACACTAGACTTTACTTTTGCAAGGCACTGTATATCCAAATAGTTATCAGCCCCCTTCAACCTTTCAACATTTCGCCACATTTCAGGCTTCAAACATAAAGATAAGATTTTTTTTTTTCATGAATCAACAACAAGTGGGACACAATCGTTAAGTGGAACGAAATTTATTGGATAATTTAAACTTTTTTAACAAATTAAAAACTGAAAAGTGGGGCGTGCAATATTATTCGGCCCCTTTACTTTCAGTGCAGCAAACTCACTCCAGAAGTTCAGTGAGGATCTTTGAATGATCCAATGTTGTCCTAAATGACTGATGATGATAAATAGAATGCACCTGTGTGTAATCAAGTCTCCGTATAAATGCACCTGCTCTTTGATAGTCTCAGGGTTCTGTTTAAAGCGCAGAGAGAATCATGAAGACAAAGGAACACACCAGGCAGGTCCGAGATACTGTTGTGAAGAAGTTTAATGCCTGATTTGGATACAAAAAAGATCTCCCAAGCATTAAACATCTCAAGGAGCACTGTGGAAGCAATTATATTGAAATGGAAGGAGTATCAGACCACTGAAAATCTACCAAGACCCGGCCGTCCCTCCAAACTTTCATCTCAAACAAGGAGAAGACTGATCAGAGATGCAGCCAAGAGGCCCATGATCACTCTGGATGAACTGCAGATAACTACAGCTGAGGTGGGAGAGTCTGTCCATAGGACAACAATCAGTCGTGCACTGTACAAATTTGGCCTTTATGGAAGAGTGGCAAGAAGAAAGCCATTTCTCAAAGATATCCCTAAAAAGTCTTGTTTAAAGTTTGCCACAAGCCACCTGGGAGACACACCAAACATGTGGAAGAAGGTGCTCTGGTCAGATGAAACAAATCGAACATTTTGGCCACAATGCAAAACGATATTTTTGGCGTAAAAGCAACACAGCTCATCACCCTGAACACACCATCCCCACCTCAGCTGTATACATATTATAACTTCTGTCTCCACTGTGTGTAAATCCTTGTGGTTCAGGTTTTATTATGGGTAAGAATGTCTTAAGATAAGTACCATGGCAACACCCTTCCCCCAACGACTCTACAAGATGTGAAGACTTACAAAGACCCACAGGGAAGACAAACCGGTCTGCTTTGGAACCACGGAGTGACCAGACCTCCCTGGGCTCTGCTCAGGCAACCAAGGGGCTTTGGGCCTCTTAAGCCTGGTTCACACGAGATGATTTTAAAATTGTCGGCCGATTTTTCTCCGTGTTAGACCCCACACGGGGAGATTAAAGATCCTGCTTCTAACCACTTTGGTCGTGCAGTGATCACGCAAGCCACAAACATCACACACGAACCGACACCCCCCCCGAGCATTCCCAGGTCAGACGGAAATCTCACAAAATCTCTCGAGATCAAGCGTGACTTCAGAGTAAACAGTCATGGCGGACGAAGAGGATGCAGTGGCGATAGTGTGCAGTTTGTTGTTAACAGAGAAGAGACGTAATCCAAAGAAAAGGCAATGGCCAAAGAAGTGGCGACAACGCGAGCATGGATTATACTTGCTACATCGTGATATGGAGGTCAGTTGTTTTTTTTGTCCTCATGAATGTCGTAGCCTACAGGTGTACTAACCGTCAGCGTTGAAATAGCTGTGAATTTAGTTTCCATCATTTGCCTTGGTGGACTGAAATTGCTGACGTAGTTATGCCTATAGACAATATTTAGATTGTTATATATTTTACAGGTTTCTGACAGAAGAGGGGTCAAAGAGCTACTACGCATGAATGTGGAGGAGCTTGAGTTTGTCCTCAATAAAGTAGCCCCTTTGATCACGAAGCAGGATACAAACATGAGGCTGTCCATATCTGCTAAGGAGAGACTGGTGTTAACGCTAAGGTTTTTGGCAACAGGTTTGTTTGCAACAGCCTGTTATGTATATTGTGTTTACGTTTACTAAATGGAGTCACTTCCAATGTTGTTTCTTTTTAGGAGAGTCCTTTACATCGTTGAACTTCCAGTTTAGAGTTGGAAAGTCAACCATCTCTCAAATTGTCTCTGAAACATGTGAAGCCCTGTACCGAGTATTGGCTAAGGATTATCTAAAGGTAATGAAACTCATGCATTGCATGTAGTTTAGTTTAGTTATGTTTAGTTTATATTGAAACATGTGAATACTTTATATATAATCATAATACACAAACAAAAAATTCTATTCCATTCACGTGTTCACAAGGGAGTAGGAAGAAGCAAAAGCTTATATGGTCCTACCTCTCATGTACCAAAGGCATTATTTATGTAGAAACAAGGGAGATGGTGCAAAAAATTTCCAAGTGTACAAACAAACAGTGAAATATATTTCTCTTCATGAAAAATACGTAAATAGAAGCCTAAGTACGAGCCTAAAACACTTAAGCATGCGGCGCGCACACACACATACATATCTAGACACAAACATACATATCTAGACACATACATACATACACACCTTATACATATACCATTATATGTTATATCTATATAAACCTTTGAAGCGTAGAATGGTGCTGCTTTGTTTTAATTCCTCTGACAGACAATAGTTTGATGCCACCAACAGAAACATTAAAACGTTTCATAGCTGTTTTGGCATATTTTACTTTAAAATTTAACTCTCCTCTCAGATTAGATTTCCCTTCCCTCTTTCATGTAGTCTTTTTTTCTTCTTATCAAACAAGTACTTCGATAAAACCAGTTATAAAGGTTATGGCAACATATTTATTTGTGAATAGTGTTAAGTATTTAACAAATTTGATTCAAATTATAGTGGAATTATTTGCCTGACTCATCAGTTTCATTTCAGACACCAACTACAGAGGAGGAATGGCTGGACATTGCATAAGAGTTTCATCAAAAGTGGCAGTTTCCCCATTGCCTTGGGGCCCTAGATGGGAAACATATAAACATTTTGCCCCCAGCTCACAGTGGAAGTATCTACCGTAATTACAAAGGGCGGTTTTCTGTGTTGATGATGGCTCTTGTAGATGCCAAGTACCAGTTTCTGTACGTCAGTGTGGGAGCACAAGGAAGAGCATCAGATGCAGGAGTTTTTAACGAGTCTGACTTCAAGAAAGCACTGGACCAGGGCCTTCTCAATATTCCTGCAGCAAAACCACTTCCGCTATCAAACATACAAGCCCCCTTTGTGTTCCTGGGCGACGATGCTTATCCTTTGCGCACAGACCTCATGAAGCCATACTCTATTCGTCAGATGGATTATGAGCAGAGAGTTTTTAATTACAGGCTTTCTCGAGGACGCAGAGTGGTGGAAAATGGATTTGGAATACTTGCTAACAGGTGGAGAGTGTTCCTCACCACAATAATGCTCAATGCTGACAAAGTACAGAAGGTTGCGTTAGCTTGTGTGTGTCTCCACAATTATTTATGCACCTCCAGCCCCGATTGACTCAGAAGATGGTGACCATGGGTTTGTGGAGGGTGCCTGGAGACAAGATGGTCTGGGAGCCATGCTCCCTCTTCAACCTGTAAGACCCTGCAACAGCTCAATGGCGGCCAAACAACAACGCGAAAAGCTGAAGAGCTACTTTGTTTCATCCGCAGGCAAGGTTTCTTGGCAGGACAACTACATTTAGGCTCACACGAAAGTCATTCTTTTTTGTATTCATTTTTGCATTGTTAAATGTATAGTTCTGTAAATACAGCCCTTTTGCTGTACTTTTTTCTTTAGTTTAAGTTACAATGATAAGACTGTGGAAATGTAACATGAATAAGAAAAATAAGAAAAAACTGAACTGCCTCAAATTTGCATTATTTCTATACAAAACTGTAAAGTCACACCTGTGTTCAACATCATTATTTTGTGCAACCTGAAATTCCCTAGTAACAAATTAAACAGCCTGCATGACCAAATGGTTTAACATCATTTAACACATTTTGTAATAATGCTATGTTACTCTTTTTAGTGTTGGGTAGAGGTCAAGAAACTACAAACACAGTCAGAAAAATACACAACCTCCTTATTCACTTCAGGATATAAATAATCCAACCAAACATTTATTCGTCACTTGCAGTGGAATGGTTAAGCAGTTGAAAAACAGTGGTGCAAAACTGCAACTTTTAAGGCCTTGACATAAAAAGGCTGAAATAAATATAGATTTAAAAAAGAAAATACCAGTGTTGCCAACTTAGCGACTTTGTCGCTAGATTTAGCGACTTTTCAGACCCCTATAGCGACTTTTTTTCAAAAAAGCGACTAGCGACAAATCTAGCGACTTTTTCTGGTGTTATTGGCGACTTATCTGGTGTTTTGGCGACTTATCTGGTGTTTTGGAGACTCGTGAAGCACGTATTGTTCTGCTGTCCTCAACGTGAGCCCCTCCCCCGTCCCAAAGCACTTACAGGCGGCCAGTCTCACAGTAGCCTTGCAGCAGTCCCAGCTACAGTCTATGGGCGGAGCAGAGAGAGAGAGAGGAGACTCAAAAGCACAGGGAGTTTTCAGGCTGCTGCAGACTGAACTCCAGCTCCACCACCACCACACATCCAAAGCTCCCCGGCCACTCCTACCACCGCCACCCCCCACTACCCCCCACTCCATCCGCGGCAGCTCTGTCCGTGACTCTGTTTTCTCTCAGTAGTGGGTCACATTAAATCATTTGTTATGCCAAACTATGAAAAAAAAAAAAAACTTACAAAAATAAACCTAAGTAACTCTGCCAGAGTGTGTCTTTTGGGTCACTTTGCCGGTCCCAAGCCCGGATAAAGGAGGAGGGTTGGTTGTAGAGAGCTAGCAATTTCACCCTACATAACAATCTTTTGATTACATTTGCTGTTATAACATTTAACAATACAGGACAAAACTGATGTGTGTAATGTGGATCTAGACAAAGCATTAAAATCATTAAATGTTGTTAATGTTGAAATTATTTTTGTACATTTGTAGTTCTAAACATATTTAGGGTGTTTTTACTCACTTTTGTCTCTCCCACGACCTTATTCCTCTCTCCTACAGCGTCCGTTACAGTTATTTGCAAATTGCAAATTATGCAAATTAGGCGATGACGTCATTTAGCGACTTCTAGCGACTTTTGGGACAGCCAATAGCTACTTTCCTTACTGAGGAGTTGGCAACACTGGAAAATACAGTTATTACTGAAAATGCATTTGATAGAACAATGTCATTGTTTTCTTCCATCCATCCATCCATTTTCTTCCGCTTTATCCGTTGCCGGGTCGCGGGGGCAGCAGTCTAAGCAGAGACGCCCAGACTTCCCTATCCACACACACCTCCTCCAGCTCGTCCGGGGGGACCCCAAGGCGTTCCCAGGCCAGCTGGGAGACATAGTCTCTCCAGCGTGTCCTGGGTCTTCCCCGGGGCCTCCTCCCGGTGGGACGTGCCCGGAACACCTCCCCAGGAAGGCGTCCAGGAGGCATCCTGAACAGATGCCCGAGCCACCTCAACTGGTTCCTCTCGACGTGGAGAAGCAGCGGCTCTACTCCGAGCTCCTCCCGTGTGACCGAGCTCCTCACCCTATCTCTAAGGGAGCGCCCAGCCACCCTGCGGAGGAAGCTCATTTCGACCGCTTGTATCCGCGATCTCGTTCTTTCGGTCATTACCCACAGCTCATGACCATAGGTGAGGGAGGGAACGAAGATTGACCGGTAAATCGAGAACTTTGCCTTTCGGCTCAGCGCCCTCTTTACCACAACGGTCCGATACAGCGACCGCATCACTGCGCACGCTGCACCGATCCGCCTGTCAATCTCACGCTCCATCCTCCCCTCACTCGTGAACAAGACCCCGAGATACTTGAACTCCTCCACTTGAGGAAGGACCTCTCCACCCACCTGAAGAGGGCAAGGCACCTTTTTCCGGTCGAGCACCATGGCCTCGGATTTGGAGGTGCTGATTCTCATCCCAGCCGCTTCGCACTCGGCTGCAAACCGTCCCAGTGCATGCTGCAGGTCCTGGTTCGTTGGAGCCAACAGGTCGACATCATCCGCAAAAAGTAGAGATGAAATCCTGTGGTTCCCAAACCGGACCCCCTCCGGCCCCTGGCTGCGCCTAGAAATTCTGTCCATAAATACAGTGAACAGAACCGGTGACGAAGGGCAGCCTTGGCGGAGGCCAACATGCACCGGGAACAGGTCTGACTTACTGCCGGCAATGCGAACACAGCTCTGACTCCGGTCATACAGGGACCGGACGGCCCTCAGCAGAGGACCCCGGACCCCGTACTCCCGGAGGACCCCCCAAAGGACACCCCGGGGAACACGGTCGAACGCCTTCTCCAAATCCACAAAACACATGTGGACAGGTTGGGCGAACTCCCATGAACCCTCGAGTATCCGATGGAGAGTATAGAGCTCGTCCAGTGTTCCGCGACCGGGACGAAAACCACACTGCTCCTCCTGAATCCGAGATTCGACCATCGGACGTAGCCTCCTCTCCAGTACCTTGGAGTAGACCTTACCGGGGAGGCTGAGGAGTGTGATCCCACGATAATTGGAACACACGCTCCGGTCCCCCTTCTTGTAGAGAGGGACCACCACCCCGGTCTGCCACTCCATTGGCACCGCCCCTGATCGCCACGCGATGTTGCAGAGACGTGTCAGCCAAGACAGTCCTACAACATCCAGAGACTTTAGATAGTCAGGACGGATCTCATCCACTCCCGGCGCCTTGCCACCATGGAGGCTGCCAACCACCTTGGTGACCTCGGCCAGGGAGATGGAAGTATCCGCCCCAACATCCTCAGCCTCTGCCTCCTGGACGGAGGACGTGACGGGGGGATTGAGGAGAACCTTGAAGTATTCCTTCCACCGCCCGACAATATCCCCAGTCGAGGTCAGCAGCCCTCCACCCGCACCATACACGGTGTTGGCAAAGAACTGCTTCCCCCTCCTGAGGCGCCGGACGGTTTGCCAGAACCTCTTCGAGGCCGACCGATAGTCATGCTCCATGGACTCTCCGAACTCCTCCCAGTCCCGGGTTTTTGCCTCTGCAACAGCCCGGGCCGCGGCACGTTTGGCCTGCCGGTACTGGACAGCTGCCTCAGGAGTCCCACGAACCATCATTGCTCGATAGGACTCCTTCTTCAGCTTGACGGCATCCCTTACTGCCGGTGTCCACCACCGGGTTCGGGGATTGCCGCCGGGACCAGCACCAGAGACCTTGCGACCACAGCTACGAGCCGCCGCATTGGCGATAGAGGAAGAGAACATGGTCCACTCGGACTCGATGTCCCCCTCCTCTGCTGGGACCTGGGAGAAGCTCTCCCGGAGGTGTGAGTTGAAAGTCCGTCTGACAGGGGGCTCAGCAAGACGTTCCCAGCAAACCCTCACTACACGCTTGGGCCTGCCAGGTCTGACCGGCCTCCTGCCCTGCCAGCGGATCCAACTCACGACCAGGTGATGATCGGTTGACAGCTCCGCCCCTCTCTTCACCCGAGTGTCCGAGACACGCGGTCGAAGGTCAGATGATACGACAACAAAGTCGATCATTGACCTCCGGCCTAGGGTGTCCTGGTGCCACGTGCACTGATGGACACCCTTGTGCTCGAACATGGTGTTCGTGATGGACAGGCCGTGACTGGCACAGAAGTCCAACAACTGAACACCGCTCGGGTTCAGATCAGGGGGGCCGCTCTTCCTGATCACCCCTCTCCAAGTGTCACTGGCATTTCCCACATGGGCGTTGAAGTCCCCCAGGAGAATAACGGAGTCCCCGGGCGGTGCACTGTCCAGTACCCCTCCCAAGGACTCCAAGAAGGCCGGGTACTCTGCACTACCGTTAGGCCCGTAGGCCGTCACAACAGTGAGAGACTTGTCCCCCACCCGGAGGCGGAGGGACGCGACCCTCTCATTCACCGGGGAGAACTCCAACACGTGGCGGCTGAGATGGGGGGCAATGAGTATGGCCACTCCAGCTCGCCGCCTCTCCCCGCGGGAAACACCAGAAAAGTGGAGCGTCCAACCCCTCTCAAGGAGTTGGGTTCCAGAGCCCAAGCTGTGTGTGTCGGTGAGGCCGACTATCTTTAGTCGGTATCGCTCAACCTCCCCCACAAGCTCGGGCTCCTTCCCCCCCAGTGAGGTCTTATAACCACAAAAACAAGAACCTTTTAACTGAAAATATAACCTTAAATCATATGCACTAATCGTCTTCTAGCATTCTCCTGTAGCTATGTGTCTCATTATTTTGAAGCTGGTACTGATTCGGTAGCATTACAGTTACAACTAAAGGGCCAGGGGGGGTTGTTGTCTGTAGGGCCTAGAAGACATAGAATCAGCCAAAGGACTGTTTCTATAACAACATTCGGAGAGTGTTCAGGTGGCGGAAGTGTTTAGATAAACGATGGTCAGATAATCCAAAAGTGCGTAGGCGCAATTGAAGTGTTCATGCACTTAATAGGACTTTTCAGCAGTTTTTTTCCATTTTCAGCAGTTCAAGTGTAACTTCATGTAGATGCAACTTAATAGGGATTTTTCCATGTAAACCAGTATAATGCAACTTAATAGGGTTTTTTTTTTCA